CTTTTCTTCCCTTCCCTTCCTCTTCTCTTCTCTTCTCCTTTCTTTTCTTTTCTTTTCTTCTCCTTTCTTTTCTTTTCTTTTCTTTTCTTTCCCATACAAACGTACTGCCTCCATCCCTGGAGACTGATTCAGCAGGTGTGAAGAGGAAACAGGATTGTGCAGCTAGAACTAAGCCCTAAGCAGTGCTGCAGACAGGCTCTCCGTGGTAGCAGGAAGCCAGCGCTGAGCGAAGGGAGGATGGTGAGGGCACGAGTGTGGTGTGGAGGGGGTGTCGAGGAGACGGTAACGCGGGAGCTGTTGCCCCCGCGGACGTCCTCCCGCGTCGGGGCCCTAAGTGTGCCCCGGAGGAAGAGCGCACGCCCCAGCGAGCTCCACCTAAGCGTCCCCTGACTGCTGGGCTTGCAGGCGCGCTCAGACTCTTTCTTCTTCACCTGCGTTTTCATCGTTCTTGAACTAAAGCGTGACCCAGGAGAACTTGATTTCATCTATAAGATTTTGATTTTGGTTTCTCCTAATTTATATACAACAATTAAAGCCAACTGTTAACTTTAGCGATGTCCCAACTGGTCCCCGTTGGTTTGCAAACTTGGACGTTCCCCAGGTGAGCTCTGAAACTGGCCCCCTCGGCAGAGGGCACAGGGAGGCTGGAGAAAGAGGCAGACACCCCAGATGGTAGGTGGCAGTATCAACAGGCAAGGGAACTCACTGACAAGGCTTGTCTGGGCGCCCACGGGTAAGGCGGTCTCTGCACCCGCCCCTCAACCCCCCAGAACCTTGAAAGTTTACACAGAGGACTTAGCAGGGTTCAGTCATGTGTTCAGTCCAGGTGCTCTCAACACCTTCTTCTCTCAAGGCCTCACCCTTAAATTGGCTGCTTGTGTGGGAATAGTAGGTGGGACATACATTCCAAAGACAGGGGAGGGGTGAGGAGTCTCTGACGGCCAGGGGTCAGCTCCAGGGGTAACTGGCAGTCACGTCCTCTCCGTGACCTCCTCCCACAGTCCCTTCAACTCCTTTATTTTCCTGCTGCCCCTGTCAGCAGGCTGCTGGATAAATGCTTTGAACAGACCGCTGTGATCATGGGACCACCCCGCTCTACACCAGCTGCTGAAGGATGGGAAAGGGCCTCAACTTAGCATTCGGCTCCTTTCACACTTAATACAAACTTACTAGCACTGCCCTTTTCCCACCCTGCTTTCTTCTAGCCACCCCATGCTCCAGAGTAGAGTCCCCATCATTCCAAATTCAGTTTGCCTTGTTTTACACTAAATTTCATGCCATCCTCCCTATGTACAGTACCCTGAACCTCTCTATCAAATACTCTCTCTCAAGAGTTTTCTTGAATCCTAAACTCCTCCATGAGCTCTTCTTCATCTTCACTATACCTTCACCACCAACCAACCATTTCAAACTCTAACATCCATCAAACCCTTCCCTCTTATCCCCTCATGGAGTTGTGGGGCCTTCCCACTTGTGTGTCACATAGCATATCTCCCTTGCATTTCAGTTATTTGTCTAAGTGCCTTGTATGGGTTTCTCAGGGCTAGCATACCTAAGCACCATAAACAGGGTGACTTAGAACAGGAGAACTGTATTCTCTCACTGTTCTGGAGGCCAGACGTCTGAAATCAAGGTGCTGTCAGGGCCAGTCTCCCCCTCTAGGCTCTGGGGAAGAGTGGTGGTTGTTGACAATCTAATGTTCCCTGGACTGTTGATGCACTGATCCAGTCTCTGACTCCTTCATTGTCTATCGTGGCTCCTTGTGTGTCTCCTCTGTCTTCACGGGGACTTCTTGTAAGGACACCGGTCATTGGATTTAGAGCCCATTCTCAACCAGTACGACCTCACCTTAACTAATTATACCTGTGAAGGCCCTGTTTTCAAACAAGATCACATTCTGAGGTTCCAGGTAGACATGAATTTTGGGGGGTCATATTCAACCCAGAGCATCCCTTATCTCCCCCAATTCAATTGTAAACTTCTCAAGATAGCTTACATTTTACTATCTATAGATATCTCAAAACTAAACACTCTGTCATTTGACGTAGTATTTTAAAATCTTGATTCTGTCATTCCTGGCGTTATGGGTTGAATTGTGTCCCCGGTAAAACAATGTTGAAATCCTGCCACCCAGAAACTCAAGAATGTGACTTTATTTGGAAATCGGATCATTGCAGACGTCACTAGATAATGTGAGATGAGATCTCACTGAAGTAAAGTCCTTAGTCTAAGGTGGCCGCCATCCTTGAAGGAGAGGGAAGTCTGGACACAGACACTCACATAGCGGAGCCTGCCATGTGAAGAGAGAGGCAGAAATCGGAGTTATGCTGCCAAAAACCAAGGAACCCAGGATTGCTGGCCGTACTCTGGAAGCTCAGAGGCAAGCATGGAACAGAGTGTCCCTCAGAGCCCTCAGAAGGAAGCAGTCCTGATCTGGGGCTTTCAGCCTCCAGAACCATGATGGAGATACTCCCTGTTGCTTTAAGCCAGCTAGTTTGTGGTCCTTTGTCACGGTAGCCTGAATAAGTGAATTCACATGTTACTGTCTGCTCTTCTCGCGTTACAAGGGGTGCCACCCGGAAATGTGTCAACTTGGAGACCTCGCATTCTAAAAGTGGAGTAGACATATTTCCCCGTATTTCTTCAACTAAGTATAACTAAGAACTCTAGATACTGTAAGTAAAAACAAACATAACGTTCTAAAAGGCAGAAAACAGAAGGCAGGCCAGCTAGCGACCTTAGGGTCCAGGGAGAAACACTGTGTTGAGTTCCCTGTTTATTTTTTCTTGCCTCATACATCCTAGACGCAGATCTGGAGAGCTGGCAACCCGGAAATGCCAGTGTGTGCAGACAGACAAGGCCTGCTCTCCTCAGCCAAAGACCGGGAACAGGGCAGCCTGATGAGACAGGGACGCTGTAGACAGTAAACACTCTACTGCAGCCAAATACCACAGGAGAAACAATGTCCTGTTTTCACCCGCGCCAGTGAAGGCAGGTGCGGAGTCCGGACCTCTAGGCTTGAGAAGCTGTGATGACGTGCTTCAGCAGCGCCTCTGTGGAGGCGTCAGCGAATCCCAGGCAGAGAGCCAAGACTTTCAA